CATCCTTAAGGGGACCTCCGGACTTCCCATATACCTTCTCAGGCTGATTGACCTACAGATTGATGTTTACCCTCTTCATCTACTATAAAGATTCCAGTGGATATTCATTATATGCGCATTTTCCATGCGCGTCCGGTGAGTGCGCATTCTTTCCATTGTTTCCTGGTTTCATCAGCTATTTTTTTGGGACTTACTCATATGAATTCATTCATTAACCACGGACTATTTTCTTTTGCACTTATTATTTTTTAGCGCTGCACTCTGTTTTTATTTGTCATTTATGGGTACACTGTGATTACCTTTAGTGCTTTAGCTGCTTAGTCAGGAGCGCTCACTTTATACCATTTTTATCTATAATACTACCCAAAGCTGGTTTTACCAAGTGAATAATCACAAATGCAGAAAAAGAAGGGGTAGTATATCAGAGGACATGATGCTGATGAAAGAAAATACACCAACATTTCACCATTTCTCAAAGTTGTACACTAGTAAAATGTTATATGGTTCAAAGGGATATACAGTTGTGGCCAAAATTATTCAACCCCCACTGAAATTGAGTGTTTTGGCCAGTTTGACATTGCTTTTGATCATTCAGTCATCTTGCTTACATTTACATTAAAGAGGCACTTGTAGGTCAGACAAATATAACATAACAGTTATAATGAAATAACCACAAATGTCTTTTCTGTGCTCACAGCATTATCAGTTTTATTCAACCCCCAAGTGACATTCAATCTTAGTACTTAGTACAGCATCCTTTTACAGTTATAACAGCTTTTAAACGTGAAGCATAGCTTGACACAAGTGTCTTGCAGCGATCTACGGGTATCTTCGCCCATTCTTCATGGGCAAAGGCCTCCAGTTCAGTCACATTCTTAGGCTTGCGCACTGCAACTGCTTTCTTTAAGTCCCACCAGAGGTTCTCAATCGGATTTAAGTCTGGTGACTGCGATGGCCACTCCAAAATGTTCCAGCCTTTCCTCTGCAACCATGCTCTAGTGGACTTGGAGGTATGCTTGGGATCATTGTCCTGTTGAAAGGTCCAACGTCTCCCAAGCCTCAGGTGTGTGACGGACTGCATCACGTTTCCATCCAATATCTCCTGGTACTGAAGAGAATTCATGGTACCTTGCACACGCTGAAGCTTCCCTGTACCTGCAGAAGCAAAACAGCCCCAAAGCATGATTGACCCTCCACCATGCTTCACAGTAGGCAAGGTGTTCTTTTCATCATAGGCCTTGTTCTTCCTCCTCCAAACATAGCGTTGATCCATGGGCCCAAACAGTTCTAATTTTGTTTCATCAGTCCACAGAACACTATCCCACAACTTTTTGTGGTTTGTCCACATGGCTTTTGGCATACTGCAGTCGACTCTTCTTATTCTTTGGAGACAGCAAGGGGGTACGCCTGGGAGTTCTGGCACGGAGGCCTTCATTACGCAGTGTGCGTCTTATTGTCTGGGCTGAAACTTCTGTACCCACATCTGACAAATCTTTTCTCAGTTCCTCAGCAGTCACACGGGGACTTCTCTCCACTCTACGCTTCAGGTAGCGCACAGCAGTCGAAGTCAGCATCTTCTTTCTGCCACGACCAGGTAGCGTTTCAACAGTGCCCTTTGCCTTGAATTTGCGAATGATGCTTCCTAAGGTGTCTCTTGGTATGTTTAACATCTTTGCAATCTTCTTATAGCCATTGCCCTTCCTGTGAAGAGAAATCACCTCTTCTCTTGTCTTCCTGGACCATTCTCTTGCCTTCACCATGTTTGTAACCACACCAGTAAATGTCTAGAAGGAGCTGAGTATCACAGTCATTTTAAAGCTGCCTAATTGGTGCTTATTATGCTTGATTGCTGCTCGGTGACATCCACAGGTGTTTTCAATACCTGATGGAAAGCACCTGTATGAACCTCTGTTCTTCAGAGTGGTAGTCTTTAAGGGGTTGAATAATTGTGGCAATGAAGAAACCACATAAGAACCATTTACTACTGTATTACATAAACAATTGATGTCATTTTAGTTGCATTTGGGTAGTTACAACGTCCTTGTAGGATTTGATTCTGAATACAATTCCAAATGTACACTATAGTCCCTAAACCCCTTTACAGCATTGGGGGTTGAATAATTTTGGCCACAACTGTATAAGTGAAAACTGAATCACATAAACATCACATAAACTCATGGAGAGATATGGTCGTGAGCGCTATGCACTGCCATAAGTGATTCTATGTGTGCACTTCTATTATTTGTGTTCAATTCTTAAATACAGCACAGTGGCTAAATGGTTAGCACTTCGCCTCCCGCCTGGCAGTATTAAGGCTCATGTACACTGCAGCTGATAAACTCACGTTCAGGAGCTTTTCTGAGTTTTTTCAGCAGCCCCTGAACTCTTCCTAATGTTTTCCTAAGTGTCCATGTATACATAGTCGTTTACAGTTGTTTAAAGGCAGTTGAGTTTACAGTCATTTTTTTGAACACAGCAAACTTGCATTCAGGAGTAGATTTTATCAGCGTTTCAAACTCCAAACACCTGTAAATGTGTGTAAACTCAGCTAACCACGTTTATAAGCGTTTGCGTTTAGAAACATTTTTTGACAGGTCCATATCCAGGGCACAATTCACTAAGCGGCATCCTACAGCATCCGAGTATGCGGTAGTATACCTCATAGCATTTTAAAAAAAAAATCCATTTGAATCCACTAAAATGGCTACTAAAATACTGCATGCGGAATTTTAGTAGTGAAAAGCAGGCATCACTACCCCAAAGCACCCCCCATGTTGAAGGCATGTGGCCTGGTATGGGTTCGGGGGGGCGCACATGCTCGCTCGCCCCCCCCTTTCCTGACCTGCCGGGCTGCAAGCTCGGATAAGGGTCTCGTATGGATTTTGGGGGGACCCCCCCACACCATTTTTTTTTTTAATTTTGGCATGGGGCTTCCCCTCAAGATCCATACCAGACCTGAAGGGCTTGGTATGGATGGGAGGGGGGACCCCATGCCATTTAACTTGTTATTTTTTAATTGCCGGCAATTCTTTCTTTTACAGTCAGCTGTCAGTGGGAATCCTGCTGACAGCTGAAAAATTAATGCATGATTTTCACTATTAAAATACTGCATGACTTGATAAAATAACTCCTGTGGTATTTTAGTAGCCTTTTGTAGTGAATTTACTATTTTTCAGTGTATTCTGAGCATTTGGGAAGGTCTCCTGAGGTTATCTTTTAAAAAGCTTCTAAACGCAAACGTGCAGAAACGCGGCTAAACGCATTATGAAAACGCAGCAAAACTGAAGTTTTTTAACCTACGTTTTCCAGCAGTTTCCATCATTCATAAGAGTTTTCCAAATGCCCCCTGTACATGAGCCCTTAGGGTCATTAGTACAAATCCCAATCACAGCACCACCTGCCTGGAGTTTGCATGTTCTCCCTGTGCCTGTGTGGGTTTCCTCCAACACTCCAAAGACATGCTGGTAGGTTAGTTGGATCCTGTCTAAATTGGCCCTAGTATGTGTATGAATGTGAGTTAGGGACCTTAGAATGTACACCCCTTGAGGGTTAGGGACTGATGTGAATGTAAAATATATATGTAAAGCACTGTGCAAATTGGCAGCGCTATATAAGTGCTTGAAATAAATAAATAATAATAAACTGTCCAAATGAGTTTACACTATATGTGGGTTTCACTTTGTTTTATCATACAGAAATCCTTGTGACTTTAGTGATACAAGCCTGGATGTGCAAAAATCCTTTAATTTACTGATATATATTAGTAGAAGTCCAGGCTGAAAAGTGAGTGAGATTCTGATGGGGGTTATCACTGAGCACAAAATGTACCACCGGAGAAGTTCCAGTAAAGCATCACAAAGGGAACAATCCTGTCCAAGCCCCCTGGTGCCCCTCCCAGCATTTCTGTTATACTGTCACCAGAGGGCAGCTTACCCACAGAGAGTAATGTGGGGATATGAGAGGAAATAAAACCATTGTGTCCTTTAAAGGCAATTATTCAATCAGTGGCTGCTTTTTGATTCATTTTTGTGTCACAATGAGGCCTTAAAAAGACGTAATAAAATCAGTAAATTGGGGAACTTATATCTAAAAATTGCACTTTGCCTTATATTGGTAGGTAAAACAAAACATTGATAAATGTAGAATTATAAACAAGTTGGAAAATCTCTAAAAGGGCCCCAGCTTAGATACACTTTATTGCCCCTTAAAGGATAACTTTACTTTCATACAGTTATGCTTTCAATGCACTGCATGAGATTGAGGGGTGGTTGCTGGACAGCCCATAGAACTGCTTTAGTCATGTTCAGCATTGGCATTCACTGCAGAAAGCTACATGCTGTTTAAGTTTTGTTGAGGCCGCGGTACTGTATATATATATATATATATATATATATATATATATATATATACATACATACTGTGTGTATATATATATATATATATATATATATATATATATATATTGATAGTATGTGCCCTGCTTAGTTTTTTTGAGAGATGCATGCGCATGCCTGACTTCTTAAGGCCCCTTTCACACAGATGTTCTGATCAGGTCCACCTGCCCGTTTTTCAAGCTGACCTGATCGAAATCTCTATTCTCCTCTATGGAGCATTGGATATAAATGGATATGTCCATTTACACCCACTGACATCCAATCTGATCCAATCTGCTAAAAAAATACAAACGGGGATCCATTCCCCTTCCGTCCATCTGATTGGATGGCAGTCGGATGGAAACAGACAGGCGATCCATTTCCATTCAACCGCCCATAGAGGACAGTGGGCTGTGTCTGTATCTGCTCTGCAGTAGCAGAGCGGACACGAACCTGTCATCCGCTTGCTCAGCGGGAATCAGCGTAGAAATCCTCCTCTGAGCAATCGGATCTGTAATAATATCAACAATTCATTTTTTAAGTTATAAACTTATTTTGATAGGCATACATAGTGCCTATCCAAGATACCACGTCACTTCCAGTGAGTAGAGTGCACGCCGGTGTGCGGCACTCCAGGGGCCATCTTGCTTGAGGGAGGAATCACTGATGTCTATACATGCTGGCAGCCAGGGGCGGACTGGCCATTTGGAAACTCGGGCACTGCCTGAGGGCCCAGGGTCAGTAGGGGACCCCATGAGATGCCCATGGTACCTTTATCATAGGCTTTTTTGAGTTTGGGCAAGGACACAGGGGCCCCATGATCCCCTAATGCCCGGGGGCCCCATGAGTTGTCAGTCTGCCCCTGCTGGCAGCTGATACTGACTGTGAGATCTCTACCCTGGTTATGTGGCGGTTTGGCTCCAGATAAATTAATAAAAGGCTGGTTACATTCTTTTACAATGTGAGTGGTTTGATATTTGGATTCATCTTATCTGGGTCCTGCAGTATTACACTATATTTGTTTTTTTTTGTCTGCACATATACCGAATTATATGGAGAGGGATTTCTGCTTGTCCTGGAGATAGGAGGCTGATCTGAGTTCTACTGTGAATCCCTGATGTATTGATTTTATAACATAAAGACATTCCATTTACCTATTTCTGGTGAGTGCGGTGTGTGTGAAAAACACAACGGGTGTGAACACTGGTCAAGGTCTCTTGTTTTTGGGAGAAGATTGTATCTGATCAAGTATATTGAATTCTACCTACTTTTGGAGTGGGACTATCACATTTCTGCACCAATTGAATTTTTTTTCTTTTTTTCCTTTTTTGTCAGTTGATTTATATTATCTATATATTTGTTTGTGCTGTTTTTCTTTTTTCTTATTAGCATACTTGTGTCTAAAGCAGTGGTTCTCAACCTGTGGGTCGCGACCCCTTTGGGGGTCGAATGACCTTTTCACAGGGGTCACCTAAGACCATCGGAAAACACATATTTCAGATGTGTAAACAGCAACTGCTGTGTAGAAAGCAGCTGCTGTGTTGAAAGCAGCTACTGTGTTGAAAGAAGCAGTATTGAAGGTAAAAACGACACTTCATGAATTATAATTACTGGGTAAATAGTTTTATGGTTGGGGGTCACCACAACATAAAGAACTGTGTTAAAGGGTCGCGGCATTAGGAAGGTTGAGAACCACTGGTCTAAAGGATAGTTAATGAAAGAAAGTCTCCTCAATGGTAGACAAAAAAACTGACATGGATTTTAACCTATCCCTACTCAATCCTATGTGAAAAATAAAATAATTTTTGATTTTGGATACACAATAAAATTTTTCCAAACAAAACCAAATATATTGCAGCATTCCAGTCCTTAGATGTGGTGGCTGCATTAGTTTTCTAATTTTCAGACTTCTTTTCTTTATTTCACCTGGTGGTCATGTCAGTAACATACTCCTGCGAGAGAACCCACCCACACTCACTGTAATGTATCCATTGAAGAACAGTCACAGAGTCAATCCAAAGAACACCTACTGCTCTGATCTTCAATATGAAGGAGCAATGTTGTCACCTCAGTCTGTTTTCCTGATTTGAACTACAAATACTTTTGCCTCCCCTAATCTCCATTACATAAAGGGGAGTTGTTTTGTAGATGACAGAAAATAGCTAGACAAGCTGATAACATTATATAAGGGTTCGGTTCTGCACAGGGAGTCTCAAAGATAATGGATTTCTGGCTAAATTAACAGGTATTTTTGCTGAACTTGCAGTAATTTACTTCAGAAAAAACAAACATTCATCCAGCTTAGACCAATATAATGATATATATGCTACACCTGGCCAATGCCCCTGGAAGCTGGAAATCACTGAAGTAGACATGGATCTCCACTTACTTCCATGTTCAATGCTGAGCGGCCAGCCTGATACATTGTGAACAGAGGAGGTTGGCTGCTCAGTACAGGCACCACTCAGAGAATGTTTTGCATTTTTTGAATGAATGAAAGGTGTTCTCTAATTGGAAGAGGTGGAGAAGCTGGGTGATGACACTATGCAAAGCAATCTCTGAATGGTGCCTGTGCTATGCAGCTGACCTTCTGTATTCACAATGTATCAGGCTGGCTGCTTAAAATGGGACCTGGAAACAAGTGGAGATAACTGGAGTAGCGTGTGTACTTCAGTGATTTCCAGCTTCCTGGGGCATTGGCCACTTAGTTACATTGATCCAAGCTGGACCAATGTAACTAAGCGAAATATACCAAGCCTGAAATTCATCATTAAATGTTTAGGGCCACATTAAAGTGTTACTAAACCCACAACAGTAAAATCAGTCTGTATTTGCAGTAAAGCATGCTTGTTATACTCACTGTGGAAACTAAGGAGGTTATCCTCCTCATTGTGTAAAAAGGATGTTTGATCCTGTCCTCTCTGATCCTCCCTTTCCTCTACTGTCCCCAATCCATCTGCTGATAGCACAGAGCATTGGAATCAAACTGCACATGCTCAGTTTGGTGTGTATTGCTAGAGAGATTTTTTTTTTCTCCTGAGGGTGATGTGATCAGCACAGGGCCAATCAGCGCTGTCCAGACAGGGGGTCAGGGGTCCTGCAGCCACATGGGACAATCAGGGGAAAATGAAAACTCCTCCTGCAAGCTGTAACCAGTGTTCTGCTTAACCACTGCCCGTCCGGCCCATGTACATAAACGGCCGGACGGGAGCATTGCAGGAGCGGGTGGCACAGTGGAACACCGATCATTGTACGGAACCTCTGTGCGAGGTCCCGATCATGTGATCACTTCTGACATCATTGCTTACTACGTGTGAAATTTGTGAATGATCACATAGGTCACATGGTACAAGGCTATTCACAACAGCCTTGTACCATGTGACAAGTTGTGACCAATCACAGCTCACACAGTATTTCTCAATGGCTGCAAGAATGCAACCAGAGAGGAGAAATTATTGCTTTTACAGCCTTTATGGGTGTAAAAGCAATTAGTATAAAAACAAAAACCCCACAAGTAGTACAGTGTCACCGTACTGCTAGGGTGACAGTATGTTAAAAAAAAAAAACATAAATAATAATATAAAAAAATAAAATAAAAATTGAAACATTTTTAAAAAAATTATAATTTTTGGTTATAAACTAATTTGGGTTATTTTTTTCTTTTGCTAAAAAGATTTATGAATACATTTTGGCCAAGATTTATGAAGAGAGATTATTTATTTACAACATTTTATAAGAAAAACACATTTTTTACAAAATTTTTGGACTTTTCATTTATATAGCAAAAAAAAATAAAAATCCCAGTGGTGAATAAATAACACCAAAATTAAGCTTTATCTGTCTCAAAAAAAATACTAAAAAATTCATATGGGTACAGTGTTGCATGACCGTGCAATTGTCATTCAAAGTGTGATATCGCTGAAAGCTAAAAATTGGCCCGGACAGGAAGGGGGTAAAAGTGCCCAGACTTGAAGTGGTTAACACTTATGGAAGTCACAAGATTGCTCTAACTGCTGATGAGGAAAGGTATTTAGAAGTTTATATTTACTAAAATAATTGCATTTCCATGTTGTGTGTACTGTGGGAGACCAGATAGAGTAAATGCAGGGTCCTGGGTTTAGTAACACCTTATGGGGGGGGTGAGCTATGAACGCTTTGTTAGTGGTTGGGTTAAGAGTTAGACAGCGAAGGGTAAATGCTTTAGTGTCGGGGACAATTCACCACTTAGTGACCTTTATGGCAGCTGTCTGATTCTTGATGAAAATAGTGCCAAACTATCAGTACTGAGCACCAATGTGCTCAGAAAGCCAGGTGCCACTTTGTATCCATATTTGCGGCACATTTTGGCCAAAATGTTATCTGATACCCTAGGCAGGAAAGTCTTGTGTTGATACAGAATATGCTCAGAAAGTCAGAAAGTTTACGAGAGGTTTGTACATAGCCAGAATAAACATATTCTGACATTTGAAGTTACAATTTCCATGATTCATAAAAAGTTTGCAGAGTTTTGGGTCAATATACACATTTTGCAAAACACTTAAAAAACAGTTATCTCCCAGTGACTCGCTCCTTTGCCCTCTCCCCCACAGAATATGAGAATCTGTATAATAAGTCCCCTAGAATTAAAGGTCTTATCTCCCAGCTTTACAAACAACTCTTGGGTTCCTATACTTCTAAACAACCCCTCTATTTTACTAAATGGGGAGAAGAATGCAATCAGCAAGTTTCAGAACAGGACTAGAAATTAATGTTAATGAATCTTTGCAAGTCTACAAAATCTATTTCTATCAGAGAAACTGCCTTAAAACGTATCACTCACTGGTATTACATTCCGCTCCACCTCTATTCTACAGTATGTTCCCCTCTGTACTTAACACTTGTTTTTGGGGTTGTCCTACACTAGGATCATTCATTTACATCTTTTGGGACTGTAATGTATTCACCCCACTTTGGCAACATATTCATGATATATCCTCTGAAATCGCAGGTCACCCATACATTTGAATCCCTCTAATTGTCTGACGTTTGCTCCTATTTTGGGAACCCCTCCTGCTATACAAAAGCTGATTCACACCTTTTCTGTAGCCTGTGTATGGGCGATAGCTCTTAACTGGAGATCTCCTTCGGTCCCATTTTCTCAGGTACTGGCGAGAATTGATTACATCATGACATTTGAATCCCTCTAATTGTCTGACGTTTGCTCCTATTTTGGGAACCCCTCCTGCTATACAAAAGCTGATTCACACCTTTTCTGTAGCCTGTGTATGGGCGATAGCTCTTAACTGGAGATCTCCTTCGGTCCCATTTTCTCAGGTACTGGCGAGAATTGATTACATCATGACATGGAGCGTGTTTTCCATACTTTCCATGACATTATCCCAGCTTTTGATGTTAGATGGGACCCCTGGAAGGTTATCCGTGACCAATTTCTCTGAATTTGCAGATATCTGCCCAATTTCCAATACTTTATAATATACAGCGCATATTTACCAACACTTGTCATATTTGTTTACATTTCTATCATACAGTCATTGCATTATATAACTTTGAATTCTTATTTCTAATCTGAGTTCCTTCACCTTGGGCCAAAAAAGGCCATGTATTTAACCCATCTTTTGCCACACAAAAAAAAACTGTAAAAACTCTGTACTGGATATTGGCCTTGTGTAGGGATAACTATGATCCTTACTGAATAACATATATAGAATGTTATAAGACGGCTGTATACTCCATTTTATTTCATCAGAAATGCTTTTATAGCTTCATATATTTCAAAGTTGTTTATTGCAAAACACATCTTGATTGGAATTGTACCATTAGACATGTGTGATGTTAAAGGAGGGGTTTAGTGTCCGCCTTGGTCCTTCCAAATGTGATCTGTC